GGCGGGGGGGGGCAGCCATTGGGGGGGACTGGGGGAGCAGGCAGGGCAGCAATCCGGGTGGGGGGGGCTGGGGGAGTGGGCAGGGGATGGGGCCAGCGGGGGTCCCCCCATGGTCCCCTCCCCACTCCTCCAGCTCCCCTCACTGCCTACCTCCCGGCACAGAACCCCGGTCCAGCTCCCGGAAGCTGGCACACTGCCTGCCCTGCACAGGCAGGCAGTATGCTTCAGCACTGGGGCAAGGGCCAGCCGTAGAGACACTCTGGCTAGCTGCCAGAGCAGCTCTGTGGAGGACCTGAACCTCCATTGCCTCAGGCCTGCCCTGCTTTTCTTTGCCTGGGATATTTTTTGACCCCTGGCCAGGGGTCTAATTTGGCCCCCATACTGCAAATTTGCAGCTTGGGGAATTTTTTTTTATGGTCCAGCATATGTCTCTTGTAGCATCACAATCACATGCTCTCATCTGGAAGCACCTTCAAAGTATAAAAATCTAAAGTTTTACTCTATTTTTAATTTTTAGGTGAAGGTGGCATTAGAAGTGCTACTGCACCTGTGAGCATCTGGAGGACATATTTTATAGCCAATGAATGGAATGAAATTCAGACTGTGAGGAAAATAAATCCACTCTTTCAAGTACTTGCAGTTCTTTTCTTTTTGGAGGTATTTTTTAAATATTTATATTCTTTCCATAACATGAAGGTCATTTGTTGATGTTAGCAACCCCAGAGAAGTGATGGATGACTTTCAAACATTCATTTGAAAAAGATGACCTGGTAGAAGAACCCACTATTTTGGTATGGGCCATTGTATACCTTACCACTTGTATCACTGAAATATTCCATTATGGGAACTTGTTTAAAAAAGACCCCCCTTAATTATTTTACAGATTGAAATCTCATTCATTGGTAAAATGTTCTTGAATGGATTAAGGGAGTCATGAACTCTAGCTACCTAATACTGTATGCGATAACAGCATTTTTATTTTGTCTTTCAGCTCTTTCTGTTTGCATTCAATTATTCAGTAATCTACAAAGCTATTTCTAGTGCTCTCCTTATCCAAGAATAGTCTCCTTCATTGCCCATATTAAATTGGAGCAGTAGCTATCAAGCAATCTTTGTGAACTGGGAAGTGAAATTACTTGGTCATTTTTATTTTTGACATCCCTGTATAAAGGAAGTTGTGAAGAAAAAGGCATTATGGGAGGTGGACCCCAAGCACCCACATTCCAGTCAGTGTGACATCAACTTCCTGTAATGTGTTGTTTCTAAACCCACTGGTTCCCTGGTTTCAGAAGGTGCCACAGGATTCAGTGGGATGCTATCTATGAAGTACCTTGCTTTCAGCTGGTAGTGAGGCATTGTAGTGCCAGCGTAAACACAGTAGTGTGTGCATGATTTGGCAACTCGGTACTGTTGGCTGCTCTTGGCCAGAAGAACTTTCTCATGTAAATATAAACATAGGACACTTATCTTACAATTACTAGAGTGAAGAATGTGTTGTTTAATGTAATATTTTGGTTTCCATGTTGTAATGTTTCCCATTCCTTCTGTTTAATTTAGCATTTTTTGCTGTTTTCTCTGGAGTATTTCCACTTTTCACTATAGCATGTGTCTAAAGATAGGAAAGGACTAATTTAGGTACCTGGTGGCAATGCTATTCATTGCCACAAGGGAAGTCTGGGTTCGGTTTCCTGTCCCATACTCCTTTACCCATGGTCTGTAGCAGGGAGAACATTACGTACAATCCCTGACCCAGGAAGGGGAGTACTACTTTATCGCTCAAAATTTGACCTTTCAAGTAAGAAGTCTTGCTAGGAGGTTTGTCTAGTCCTCCACCATGGTTAACGGAATGTAAATGGAAAAGACCAAGTTTTGAGGCCATTGAACAGGCAGCATTTGGAGAAGCATTGGGAGCACAAACAAAACAGAAGCAAAAAAAAGTCCTGTTCAGCCCTTGTATGTTCAGTTCTGGGTTGAATCGTATTCAGTGCAGAACCTTGGGAGAATGTAGTTGGTTCATATGAACAGGTCTCTACAGAACACAAATCTTGAGTTTTTCTCAAAGACTTATAATTTGGGCAAATTTTCTTGGGGATGGCAAAATCCCTGGCCCAAAGAGCA